TATGACCACATTTTGATAACACTGTCCCAGCTTCCAGTTATCATTCTGGATGCTTCGTGTGGATGCCACAATGTCGCAATGACACAGTCATCGTGCGCTTTCCATCGTGCTACCGTTTTATGGTTCCGCCAATCCCAAATGAATACCTTGCCATCCGCATCTCCAGATGTCAGGAAGCTAAAAAAAAAATCATTATTACCAATGATAACGAGCCAATGCGTAGTTGCAGTAGCTTCAACTTCACTATGAAGAGCAACGTAACTATTGTCCGTGCTGCAAAAACATTTGTGAACAAACCAGTATTGATCTAATTTATACAATCCTACTGCTAAAATCTTGACAAAATTTAAAAGTAAACGGAAACTGGAAAAGTCACCTCATATCGGGCGAGAAATCCACAGAACAGGCATAGCCCGCAACATTGTGTCCCTTGAATGCTTTTTTCTTCGCAAAACGCAATTTGTCGTCAATCAGTTGGAATAAAACGATGCGATTATCCATCGACTGGCCTACTATCCACTTTTCTAAAATAATGGAAATGGCCTCCAACTACATTTGTTCAATAATTAAAGCTTTCGCTTTGAACTGCTAGCACTAGCAAACAGCGTTATTCTCAAACTTAAAGCCAACGCGTCGAATTCGCTTATGGAGTAACTAATCCTTCATGATCCGTTCACGAGTTTTAATGGAAAACTGATGCTGGCCAAAACCACTACAGGTTCATACATAAAGGAAAGGCAGTCGCTCGGCTGTCCATGTTGCATCTCCCGAAGATCCTTTAGGTACGAAGGTGGTTCTGACCAGTAAATACAGAGGGCTCATCTTTTACAATAAACAAATTACAATAGTTATATGAACTCCCTTGAATAAAAAGAACGAAAATGTACCTGTTGGAGATTTGGTCATAGTTGGGATCGAATGTAAACCAGCATTCTGGATAAGTTTCGTGTCGACAGGAATTTCCCTGAAGATGTATACCTATCAAAATCAAAGTGGCTTCGACAACTACAAAATCCTTAAAACACAAAAAAGGCTCTCTCTAAAAATGTTT